AAGGTTGCTCAAACAAATGTGCGCCCGCGCTCTTGCGAATTGTTAAGAAAGCCGTATGCCCTTCAGCATGTTCATAGCATGCTACCAATCGGGCCTTTCGCGCGCGCATGTCGGAATCGTTCGAACGCGCGTCGGCCGCGCGCGCATGTCGAACTCTTTCCAAAACCTTCATCGCCGACGAGAGGACATCATCATCGTTATCGGCGGGCGTGATCAATATCGGCGCCATCATTGGCCTTGCCGTCGTCATCGCCACTCCCATGATCGTCGCTACCGTTGTCGGCGTCGCCATGATACCGCGCCCGCCCAACACGCCGACTCGCACTGAAGCGCCCGCTGGGAATTGCCCAGCGGTCAGCGCCACCGCGGCCGCGCCGGTCGCGCCAATCTATCCGGCCGCTGCGCGCGAGCGTGCCCGGGCTAGCGCGGCCGCAGAGCTGCGCCAGCCAACGCCAAGCACTCATCGCAATCGCCGCCGCATGGGTTTTGCAATCCACGTTGCGGGTGGGTGGGTGGGATATTTGCAACGGCGTGGAATTCGTCAACTCATTTGTAAACATCAGTTTTCCTTTCTACAAGCGAATTAGGATCTACCTCCCCTCCCAGATTTAACTGTACCCTTGTCTTCGCATTGCAATTTAGATACGATCCTGCCCCATCGTCCATCCGAAATTTGAAGTCGTACCATCCCAGGCAAGCTGGCATTCACCCCCCCGTTTTCCGTTGCTGTGTTCAGCGCTTTGTTTCGTGTTTATTGTCGTTCGGCACCAGGTTCGTTTTCAATCTTCGTTTTAAACGTCGGGCCTCGTTTCGATGTTCGTTGTGAACGCCATTTTTTTTTTAACATCGTTGTGGTCGGTCTTTGTGGAAATGTCTGAGAGCCTTCTGAAGCACGATGGAGGCCAGCCAGACCCTGTGGAAACCCTGGAATCTGGTGGACATCAAATAAGTACCGACATGTGTTCCATATGTATTATAGGTTTTGATTGCAATGGCGATGTTGTGCTCGACTGTGCATGCTTAGTTTGTTCCGTCAGTTTGGTGAACACGTTTGTTTCGCATGTGCGTGTTCCTGCTTTGTTTCTCGCAACCAATGTATGTGGTGCGATGCTGCTCTGGTCCTACGAACGAGCTTAGTGGACAGATAAACCAAGCATGTTCATTGAATTACCCAGGGGCTTGCAACCGCACCCACGACGCTGGGCAACACCCAGGACCCAGGGGTGGGTTTGCATGTTTCATCCCTCCGCTGGACCCCCCAGAAGGGGGGCACAGAAAAGTAAGCGACGGTTGCACGCGTGGCAGGCCGCATGACGGGCAAAGTCTCGAGCGGGGGTTGCACGTGTCACAAGCCCGGCTGACTCCCAAGGGACGCAGGAGAGCGGATACAGTTGCGCGCCTGGCAGCACGCAGGGAGGGCGAGGCCCCTTTTGGATCTTCGTGTGCCGTAACTCCGCTGGACCTCCCGGGGGCGCAGGACAGTGGAGACGATTACACACCTGGCAGCACACGGAGAGGGCGAAGTCCCGTGTATCAGGGGGAGGGGGGGGGGTAAATACCGATATTGTTGTTCGTCTTGGGGAACCCGCGTCGCCACGGTTGGACCCTCTTTGCAATTAAGCTCAGAACGCAGTTTGGGAGAGGGTTGGGTAGTAGCGGTATCGGTTATTATTCCCCCCCCCATATTGGGTCTGCGTGCGTGACCAATCCGCTGTATCCCCACCAGGGGCGCAGGAAATCGGAGACCCCAGCGCCTAGTTGAGACGGGTTCTCGATGGGTCTTGCGCGCGTCACCATTATATGCTGTTCTTGGGGGGCGCAGAAAGTCATTGACGACTTGCGGCGCCCGGGGAGGGCGAGGTCTCATTTGGACCTGCGCAGGCTGCGAACCATGCCGCGGGACCCTCCGTGGGGCGTGGGAGAGTGGAGACAGCTGCGCGCCTGGCAGCAACCAGGTACAGTCAACCCGCACAGCAAGGATGGGCAACCTTCCCAGGGATGCCATTGCATCCTTGCCTCCTCGGTCCATCCTTGGCCACGTTCGCTGGCCGCGCCCCGCTCGAAGAGCTTCGAAACGGCCTTCCAAGGCCGTTTCGAAGCTGTATGGCGAGGTCCCGCCTGGATCTGCGGGTGCACCGACTCCCGTTGGGCACCCAGGAGCACAGGGCAGTGGCGCCAGTTGCAACCCCGGCAGCACCCAGGGCTCCCAAAGACTCCCTTGGATCTGCGTGGCTCCGCACTCCCTTGCACCTCCAGGGGCACCAGAAACTGGAGACAGCTGCACGCTTCTCGACGTCGGTCTGCAGCTCCTGTCCACCGTGGCTCTACGCTCCACTGGACCCCCACCAGGGCACACGAGGGTGACGACAATTGCGCGCCTGGCGGCCCATTTCTTCTCTGGTCAGGGTTGCGGCTCGTTGCAAATCACGCTTCATGACAGTTTGACGCGCCAGGCCGCTAGAACTTGCAATGATCGATTATGTCGTTGGCGAGTGTTTAAACCCAGCAGGTATTGCGTTGGCGAGCGTTTACACCCAGCAGGTATCGTCCTCCTCTCCTCGCCCCGCTCCCCGTTATCCCTCTTCTCTTTCCCCCTCTTGTTTCCCTCGAATGTGCTCGCGGGGGCTGCTGTGCGGGCGCCGTCGTGTCAGACCGGCTTAGGCACACGCGAGTGTACAGTTTGTGTTCGCCGTTGGCCGTTGCTTTCTTGTCTTCCTGCCTGGCCCGAGCCCCGGGTTACTGACATTATTCTCTTGCACAGTTGTGCTCTAGAGCTCGTATTTTCGTCGTGGTGGTTCGGCTCCCTCGGTCCCTCCCCTGAGCCTGAGCCCCAGCTCCCCTGGGCCACCCCCCCTTGGAACCGCCCCTCCGTCCAGGCTTCCCAGGGAAGCCCCCCTGGGCCGCCGAACCCTTTATTTTCGTCGTGGTGGTTCGTCCCCCTCGGCCCCTCCCCTGAGCCTGAGCCCCAGCTCCCCTGGGCCACCCCCCCTGTGGAACCGCCCCTCAGTCCAGGCTTCCCAGGGCAGCTCCCCTGGGCCGCCGAACCCTTTATTTTCGTCGTGGTGGTTCGTCCCCCTCGGCCCCTCCCCTGAGCCCCAGCTCCCCTGGACCACCCCCCCTTCCCCCTCGGCCCCTCCCCTGAGCCTGAGCCCCAGCTCCCCTGCGCCACCCCCCCTTGGAACCGCACCTCCGTCCAGGCTTCCCAGGGCAGCCCCCATGGGCCGCCGAACCCTTTATTTTCGTCGTGGTGGTTCCACCCCCTTGCGGAACCGCCCCTCCGTCCAGGCTTCCCAGGGAAGCCCCCCTGGGCCGCGGAACCCTTTATTTTCGTCGTGGTGGTTCGTCCCCCTCGGCCCCTCCCCTGAGCCTGAGCCCCAGCTCCCCTGGACCACCCCCCCTTGGGACCTCCCTTCCGTCCAGCCTTCCCAGGGCAGCTCCCCTTGGCCACCCCCCCTTGGAACTGCCCCTCCGTCCAGGCTTCCCAGGGCAGCCCCCTGGGCCGCCGAACCCTTTATTTTCGTCGTGGCTCGTGGTGGTTCGCCCCCCTCGGCCCCTCCTTGAGCCTGAGCCCCAGCTCCCCTGAGCCACCCACCCTTGGGAGCCTTCCTCCGTCCAGGCTTCCCAGAGCAGCCCCCCTGGGCCGCGGAACCCTTTATTTTCGTCGTGGTTCGTTGTGGTTCGTCCCCTCGATCCCTCCCTGAGCCTGAGCCCCAGCTCCCCTGGGCCACCCCCCCTTGGGAGCCTTCCTCCGTCCAGGCTTCCCAGGGCAGCCCCCCTGGGCCGCGGAATCCTTTATTTTGGTAGTGGTTTCTGGTGGTTCGTCCCGCACGCGTGCCACTTGTATTGCCGTATCTTGGCAATGGTTGCTCGCTGTCCTCCTCCCCTCTTCCTCTTTCGCCCGCGGTTTTCGTTTCTGGCCCTCGGCCTGGTTTCAAGCAGCGTTGATCGTGGCAGCTGGTTTGGCAAGCACGCTGCCCATTCTTCCTCCTCTTCCACGGTCTCACCAGCCAGTTGTAGTATGGTGGGGTCCCCTTCCCGTCAGTTGGGATGATGGCGGTTTTCTTTGTCGTGTGTGCTTCCATGGGGAAAAATGAAAGTTCGGCATTGCTCAATCGACACTTCTTGCGAGCTCAGGGGGCAATACTTCACTGTCACTAAAACTATACATATAACGGGGGACCGGACCCAGGGGCCGGGGGCCGGGACCGCGACCACCAAAGTGGGGCCGGGGGCCCAGGCCCACCTCTGGGAGGCTTAAAATCGCTCCGGGGAGCCCTCAGACAGCAATCCCAGCGGCCCCAGGCGGTCTGGAGACACCCCCAAGACGCCGTCCAGGGGTCTCCGGCGACGCACGATGCGTTTTAAATTGCCCCGGAGGCCCCCAAGACGCCCGAAGAGGCCTTTAAGATGCCGCCCAACAGCGCCCCGAGAGGGCAAAATCGTTGATTCTCATTGATTTTTTTTATTTTTTGTTTGCATTCTCGCTGTTTCGTGATTCCGGCGCTAAAGCACCGCCCAAGAGGCTCCCCAAACCGCTCCAAGACGGCCCAAGACGGCCCGAGAGAGCCCCGAGACGGCCCCAGAGCCGCCCAAGACGGCCCAAGAAGGTCCCAAGAAGGCCCCAAGAGGGGCCCAAGAGAGGGAACGCGAACTGAAAAATCAAGCTCTCCGCCCCAAGATGCCCCTAAGAGGCCCCAAGATGCCCCCAGGATGCCCCAAGAGGCCCCAAGAGGCCCCCAAGTGGCCGCAAGAGGCCCCCAAGAAGCCCAAAAGAGGCCCCAAGACGGCACCCAAAAAGCTTCAAACCTCTTTCTAAGAGGCCCCCGAAGACAGGCCAAGAAGGTCCCATGACGACTTCAAGAAGCAGTCCAGGATGCTCCGAGGAGGCCCCAAGAAGTTAGCTAGAATTTGAGCGCGCGCGAAGCGCGCGCAATGGTTCTAGTAAGCATATGTGAAGGGTTCCCTTCTCATCGTCAACAGGGCGTACGTTGAAGCAGTATCGAGCAGGCTCAGAAGCCGGCTTACAACATTGTCATTAGAACATGTCTCCCAGGCACCTCAGACCCATCTAGAAGATGTTTGCGGATGTGTCTCCGTCTCCTGGACATGATTATTCCAGCAGTTATCCCTGAATGTTTGTGGGGTCATGTTTCCCAAGACAATGTATGATACCCACATAAGCCAAGATGCACACAGGTTTTTACGGCTGCATCGAGCCACATTGGCTCAAGCAGTGATTTTCCAACGGTGGCAAGATTGGTCGCCCATTGCGTTGCCGTCGTTTCTGAAGCGGACGCTGGCTCTTGCAGCGATGAGGAAGACTCTGCAGAGAAGAACACTGGCAGACACTTCCACGAAAGACAAGGACTCTGAAGATCAGGGTAAGGCGCCCTTACGAGTGGTAACAGCAGCTACAGAAGCGGAAGAGTCCGCACCTGCAGAGAATGAACGGGGGGGGTGCGTACAATGTGCGTTCAGATGTCCGAGCGTTTTGGCAAGGATAATCGCGAGACCTTTCAAACGAGCTGGAAGTGAAGGTCATTCAGATGGAGTTAATTACACTGCCGTGTCAATCAGCCGGCAGCTCGTGATTACTGCAAGTGAAGACGCCACGTGCCGTATCTGGTCGCCAGTCAATGGGCATTGGCAGTGCATTGGTGTTCTCGACGACCATGCACTTGGTGTCAATGGGGTTGCGATTGCCGAGGTAGACGTCATAGTTTCAGCTAGCGCGGATAAGACATGTCGCGTGTACACAATTACACAGGATGCCCCAGAGGAGACAAGCACAGGCAGAAGCCTAACGACGGTTTCGGAAGTTTCGTCAGCCAGTTTCCACCGGTCAAGGACTAGGTGGCGTTGCGTTGCAGTGCTTACAGGCCACACTGACCAACTATATTTCTGCGCGGTTACTCCTGACGCATCTTTCATCGCCACTGTAAGTGCAGATACAACATGCCGCGTGTGGCGAAATTTGGGCAGGCATGAATGGGTGTTTGCGCAGTCGTTAGAGGGCCATAGCATGGATGTATATGGAGTAGACATAGCAGAAGACATGTCTTTTGTGTTCACGTGTAGCCATGACACGACATGTAAAGTGTGGAGACGTTCTGAAGAGCCACCTGATGACCGCAACGATGTCGTCTGGAGTTGCCTGCAGACGCTAGAAGGGCATACGGAGGGCTTGAGCAGCGTAAACGCATCCGCCGACCTGACGTTACTTGTGACGTGCGCTGACGACATGACCTCTCGGATATGGGGACGTGCCGACGGCCTTTGGATCTGCCAGCAAATTCTGCAAGGAGTTCACACTGAGGCTGTGTATGATGCAGCCATATCTTCAGATTCGTCGTTGATCGCAACAGGTGGTGTTGACGCATCTTGCTATATTTGGAAAAGGGCAGATGATGGCACGTACCATTGCATTCAGAGGTTGGCTAAACACAAGAAGGCGATCTACTCAGTCAGAATAAATCCTGGGAAGCAGGATGGCGAATGGATTATTAGCACTGGCAGTGAAGACATGTCTGCCATCATGTGGCGTTTCGATGGCACTTCTGCTTACATGAAGACCCAGATTCGTGTCGCGACAGACATGGAACTGGCGACTGTGATAATGTTGTTGCTGGTTGCCTGCTTCCAGAAAGTCAAGTTTGCGTTTGGCAAGAGAGTACCATGGAACCGAGGTTCAGTAAAGCTTATCAATTTCACAGTACAGATCGCCATATTCGATTTAGACTTCCCGCTTCGTGTCACGCCAGAGATGTCTTTTTACGTTAAGACCGCGACTGCATTATCCAGCTCCCTGCGGCAAGTCCCGCCACGGTGCCAGCCTAGCATGCTCGGCGGCTCTTCGAGGGGGCACCGGAGGCCATACTTGCGAGGAATGAACCTCCTGATAACGATGATGATGCTGATGAGGATGCTGATACTGATGCTGATGATGATGATGGTAGTGGTGATGGTGACAGAGATGATGATGGTGATGACGATGATGGTGATGGTGGTGGTGGTCATGGTGATGGTGTTGGTGATGGTGATAGTGATGGTGCTGGTGATGATGATGATGGTGGTGCTGATGATGATGATGATGGTGGCGGTGCTGATGCTGGTGCTGGTGCTGGTGCGGATGCTGGTGCTGGTGCTGGTGCTGGCGATAGGCGCGGTGATGGTGAGGGTGATGATGATGATGACGACGACGACGATGATGATGATGATGATGATGATGATGCTGATGGTGCTAGTGATGGTGATGGTGATGGTGATGGTGATAGTGATGACGATGATGATGATGATGATGATGATGATGATGATGATGATGATGATTATGATGATGATGATGATGATGATGATGATGATGATGAGAATGATGATCGTTGGGATATCGTGGGAGCCCTCTCGGGGGCTTGTTGGAGGCAGTTTCTAGGCCTCTTGGGGGCCTGCTGGCGGCCTCTTGGAGCCCTTCTGGGGGCTTCTTGGGGAGCCTTGGAGGCCTCTTGGGGTCTCCTCGGGGCTTCTTCGGGCGCAAGGCTGGAATTGTCGGTTCTTGTTCCCCCTCTTGGGACCGCATTGGAGCACTCTTGCGCTGATTTGGGCGCTTCTTGGGCCGCTTTGACGCTCTCTTGGGCCGTCTAAGGACCTGTGTGAGGGCGTCTTGGGCCGCCTTGGAGCTGTCTTGGGGGCCCCTGGGGCCGTCTTGGAGCGTCGGAAGCTTGAAAAGGGGATAGCGTGAAAAACATCGAACAACCAAATGAGCATCATTGGTTGTCGCCTCTCGGTGCCCTCGTGGGGGTCATCTCGGAGCGCTCTCGGGGCTTCGTTGGGGCCATCTTCGGTTGTATTGGAGGCATGTTGGGCCATCTTAGCGGCCTAGAAAGCTATTGTGGGGATTTGGGACGCCTTGAAGACCGCCAGGGGCGTGTCTGGGCGCCGACAGAGCCTCGGGAAGAGGAGGCGGTGCGCGCGACAAGGTGCGGCGGGGAGAGGGGGGGCCCTTAGAAGATAAAAGAAACCCTACCAGGCAGCAGTTGTCATTCTAGCACGCCTCAACGTACCATGGGGCGCGGTGGCGAATTGTCGGTTCTTGTTTTCTTTTGTTGTGCATTAGCCAACAAAGGGAAAATTTATGTCAAGATCATATCCACCATGTGCGTGATTCCTGTCATGACGGAGTTTGCCAGAGTTTTTGATTGCAACCATTCGTCGCACATGCTCGAAGCAGCGCCAGAGATATTGTGTTGGGAGGGCATCCACCTCTACATCACGTACGTGACATGTGTCGTCGGATGCCTTTATTTGTGTTTGTTGGCTCCCTTTACTGCAGCCGAGGGGGATATTGAGGCCATGCCGAGACATGTGTTGTTTCATCCTCTCGAGTGGGTCCGACGCAAAAAGGATAAGGTTCGTGGAGTGGATTTGGGCCGGTTGAGCCCACAGCCTCTTGGATCCATCATTGCCGCATACGTGAACTTGATTGTTCACGTGTCGCTTCCTTGCATCGAGCTGCTCCTAAACGATACCCCTGAGATGTTGGATGCGTGGTCGTTGTTTGCAGTGTCGTGTATCCCGCTCTGTACCACGCTTCTTTTTCCACCGATGGAGGACAGAGTTATCACCAAGGTTGTTGCTTGCAGCCACGCCTTGGCAGTGCACGCATTCGGAGTCGCGATCATCGCAGTGATGTTGAACGATCGGACTTCTCTCCTGCCAACTACGATTCTTTATGGTGGCTGGATTGCCATTATTGTCTGCTGGTGGTTGTGGGTTTGCCGCGCAGTACGTCAGCGCGCCAAGATGATTGCCACATCTGCGCGAGAGGGCTCGAACTTACCCCACGACCGTTCTAGCATAGCCCTTGAGATGGCCCAGCTGTTTTCAGGCCATCGTGGCAGCACGGACACCGTCACACATCAGGTCCGCGAGGATATGGATGAGAGTTGCAGAAGGACGCCGCCGCAGTCTTACAGACGCATGCATCAGTCGATGGTAGACCTTGCGATTCGCACAAATCAGATTCAATAGTCGGACCATTCAATTACCATTCGGTGGCCATGTATGTGGCGCACCACACGAAAAAAAAAACAGCACGCGTTCAGGAGCTTCATTTGAGCGTGTCTGCGCTCGCGTAGGCGAAGCTCGGAGCCAGGATGGGCCCCATTCGCTCATGTTTGAGCGTTTCTGGGCCACGCGGAGATTCGATCTGGGGTGTTCCGGGACCCAGGCCCAAAACCATGCCAGAGTAAGCATCCCATTCAGAAGATCTTGGTGAGGGAGTGTGTCCAGGAGCAGCACACAGATCGGTTCTGAAGGAATATCATGAGTTTGAGGTTCAACGCCTTTTGGGCCGAGCTTCAGAGCGCGACCAGAGAACGGCGCAGAACTTTCATCCTGAGTTCCTCAGGGCCGAGCCAGACGCACACAATAAAAATCTCCAGGATGTTCACGTTGGAGAGTACGCGTTTCACGGGCGCTTACCTTGGGAACGCTCGGCGGCGCGTTCCGAACTGGGGGGTGGGCCCCCCCCCAACACTCGGCGCCGTCGATCAAAACCAGGGGGACTCCTCTCCCCCCAAACCCCCCCGTCCCGACCCCCCCCCTTCCCAAGGGGGGAGAGGGGGTTTTGAACCCCCACCCCCTCGGCGCCGGCGCCGGCGGCCGCCAGCAGCGCCGACGGCGGGGACGCAGCACGATGACCAGAGGCAGCCCAAGGGAGGCAAGGGGTTCAAAACCCCCCCCCTCCCCCCCCTGGCGCCGAGGGGGGGGGTTCAAACCCCCCCCCCTGGCGCCGGCGCCGGCGCTAGCAGCGGCCAGCAGCGCTGGCGCCGGCGACGGCGGGGGCGCAGCAACGATAACCACGACTACCACCACCACCACTACCACCACCACCGCCGCCTCAACCCACCACCACCACCACCAACCCACAACACAACCACCACCACCACCACAGCCACCACCACCACCACCACAACCACCACCACCACAACTCACCATCGCCACCACAACCACAAGAACCCACCACCACAATCTACCACGCCACCACCACCACCACCGCCATAACCACCACCACTACCTGCAGCACAACCCACCACCACCACCACAAACCACCACACCACCACCACCACCACCGGCACCACCACCACCACCACCACCACCACCACAAACCACCGCCATAACCACAACCCACCACCACCACCACAAACTACCACCACACCACCACCAAACCACCACCACCAGTTGATGTGTAGACGTCCTCCCGAGATCAGGGAGGGGAAGCTCGCCGCTTTGGCTCAAGCCATTCAGTGAGCAGGCTCACGCGAGTGCGAATCCTGTTTGCGGCGGCAAGCCCCTCTTTCCCCATCATTCCATATCAGATAATCACGATTATCAGAGTCACGACGATCCTCGTGGTCCTCTCCCTCTTCGTGGCCCTCAGGGCCAACAGGGCTCTCAGGACCGGCACGCTGGGAGTGCCAGTATCACCTCTGTCAGCGGACGCGCTGGCAGACTACGACGGCGGCGAACCTCTGGAGGCGTTGACCCAGGAGGAGGAGCGAGAGGAAAACAACTTGGTAGCGGAGCAGGTGCGATCCCGTGCCTGCTCCCAGGACAAGATACCACTGCGCTACTACGACTACGTCATGGCGAACGCCCCGCAGATGACAGGTGGCATACCAGCTGGACCTCATATCATGCAGTCAAATACGAAGACGCCACCGAGCTGGGACCCCGCAAGGGAGTCCTCATATCCACTCCGTGATTGGATCACGGACATCCGCATGTGGGAAGCTATGACAGATATACCGGCACGTTCGATCGCTCCGGCCGTGGTCTTGCAATTATCAGGATTGGCCAGAGAGATATCGAGAGAAGTGCCGCCAGATCAACTACAAGACGGAGTCTACATGGACCTCCATGATGGAGCTGGACATCGATGGTGTCCGGGGCTGGACATTGATTCACGGGCTGCGACGCAAATTCATGCCACTGGAGGCGGAGACCGCTATCGCGAGCATGACAGACCTGGTTGCGTTTCGTCGACGGCCAGGCGAGCCGATTGACCAAGCTTTGGCTCGATTCGATCTCCTGAAGTTCAAGGCTGAGCATCTGGGAAATTTCCACATGGGAATTCCGAATTTGGCTTGGATGTTACTCAATGCTCTTGGTATTCCACCGCCACAGTGGGCTCAGTTTCTGGCACCGACGGGAGGTAACTTACCAACGAATGAACAGGAGCTTTCAAGTCTTACCTCCTTTATCAGACGTCATAATCATCTCTACGAGCGAAGTGAACTCGCGCAGGCAGCTCATCAATCCAGGCATCAGCATTTCACGAACTCCACAGGCTCCGGTGACGGCTTCTACTTCACGGACAATTCACAGGACACTGGCACCCAAGTGGGAGTACCACCGCCACCGATGCCCTACTACCCCAGCGCATCGTCCTCGTCGAGGCCAAGTGGACCGTTCGGCGGAGTTGCTGGGGTATCGAATGGATCAAATACTGAAGGATGCTGGTGCAGCAATTGCCACAAGCTATTCTACGACCGGGAAGACCCTGACTCCACCGAGACGAGCGATGATGACGGTAACGATTTGGCGGAGTCGACCTTCCACATCAGTGCCCAGATGAGCGACGGCGACCTGTATGAAGTATACGCTTTGGCCAAGAAGCACTGGGGAAGGCGAGCGGACAGACTTCCAAGGCGTCGTAGATACAAAGGCAAAGGCAAGGGCAAGAAAGGAGTCAGATTTCAGAGAAACAGCGGATGGTCTTTTCTTTCTGAAGCAGGAGACGGAGCTCTTTGCCCTGGGTGCACGTGGAACACCCATGAATACTGCAAGGGCAAGGGCGAGAAGACCAACCCGAGGGGCGCGAACGGACAGCCACTTCGATGTGATCACTGCAACAGCGAGAAGCACCTATGGAGGAAGTGCGACGCTCCGGGAGCTGACGACTACCGACGGAAACGGGCTACCTCAGGAGGAAAGGGTTATGTGACGACAGAGGGGAATATGAGTACAGGAGGAGCCCAACCAGCTTCAAGCTTCTCCAGCGCTTTGCAGCACTGGCAGCAGCTCACGGGCCAACCGGCAGCGTCTACGGCGACCAGACACTTCTTTGCCATGCCGAGCAACATGGAGACGCAAGTGGACGTGTCCAAGGATGACGAGAAGGAGTACGAGGACAGCTACTACCCGGACGTGGAGGAGGAGGGCTCGCGCCTGTGCGAGTCGCATGCACGGCCAGACCTTCAAGAGGGGGTCCGCCGTGACTGCGCTTCATCCGCATCCTGGGATTTGCTCTCGACCCCCTCGGAGTTCGCGGACATCGGCAACGAGACGATTCAGATGACTGAACAGGCGAAGGCTCGGATCATGGACGCCCCGGACTCAGAGGCAACTCTTGGCGAACCTCGGCCCAACAGCGAGCAGATCGACTCAGGAACCAAGCCCGCTGGATTGAAGTGGTTTGTGGGACCGGTGTTCGAGCGATATGATGAGGCACGCCAGGTATTTCTAGAGGCGACCCGAATCGATGGTACAGAGTGCCTATTGATAGATCCAGGTGCGAATGACAATTTGGTGGGTGACAGATGGGTTATGCGAATGGGAGCTCCGGCAAAACGGGCATGTTTGGAACCGACGCAACATCTGATGGATCCATCGATCGGGGTTGGAGGAGTCGGCACCAATGCTCAGATCGCCAAGGAGGAGGCGACGACGCCAGGCGCAGCCAAGGACGAGCGAGGAAAGGTGCATCAGATAAGCTACAAGGCCCCAGTGGTTCCTGATTCAGATATTCCCGCTCTCTGGGGAAAGCGTAGTCTGAAGCACAACAGAGCGGTGGTCGACATGATCAACAGCAAATTGTACTTGTGTGGCCCTGGAAGAGTACAGTTCATTCACGCCACCGCCGGGGACGCTCACCTTCAATCTTGAGGGCTCGCGGCCAGGACATTTGCTGTTGCCTAGCTCGCATTTCTTCGGCAACGGTAAGGAGAAGAAGGTGCGCGCGAAGCAGGAGCCAGCCACTTGGCATGCGAGTGCGCCCGCAGTCACCCGGCCCATGATCAAAGATAAGGCGAAGGAGGACGAGGCAGACACGCCGACGCATGAGCCGACACCGGCCACCCCCTCGGCGCCTGCGGTGCACTGAGGGTGCGGACCGCCGCTACCAAGCGGCGGCGGTGCCGCAGGAAATCATATAGCTTGGCATCTGGACGTCCCCGAGCAGGACCCAGAGATCATAGTGATAGACAAGGACAATGGCCATCCGATCCGCACGAAGTTGCTGAGTCAGGCCAACATCACCTACACCCGCCTAAGTCTTCTGCACACCTCGAACATGGAGCATATTCTCCGACTCTTGGAGCGAGGGAAGTGCCGAGGCGTTTGGATGCGGCTGCATTCCCTCATACCGGACGTTACGAGACGACAAGGGAAGACACGAAAGCAAAAGCAAAGATTGATGGCGACCTCCATACTCATCGCGCGCTTGATTCAGCTTCGGTGCGTGCTGGTGGTCGATTCTCAAGCTACGAATGAAGCCTGGCAGGAGGATGATATTCTCAGAGCGACGGCAACGACCCCGCCAGGATATCGGATGACAGGTCATCGATGGTGCAGTTACCTGACGTCGGGCAAGGACATGGCCCCGACGACCAGCCAGAGATTCTCTTCCAACCTGGACTTGCTTCCCGACTCGTGCAGCTGCGGCCGGAAGAGCTCAGATCACCGCAGATCGACAGGGTTGGAACACGTTCAGCTTGAGGGTCAGTTTCTGACCGTCTTCTGGCAGAACCGACTTCGAGACAAGCTATTCGATGCGGTTCGAGGAGAAGTACGTGACGACAATGACGCGGAACGAGATGCACGATATCCGCAGACGGGGCCGGACGAGCCCGTTGATTCCCACATGGTGGTAACGAAGTCGAAGACGGTCAGCTTCTATCCGACCGACTCTGCCAGCGCCTACAAGGAGAAGCTGAAGTCCCGGAAGGCCGAGGGACACGAACCGAAGAAGAAGGTCAAGCGGATTCTAGATCCCGAAGTCATGGATGACTGTGGCGAGGACCTCGGAGAGCTTGACTATCTACGAAACGAGGAGGTGTGCTGGTGGGAGATGCCGGGCAACAAGGTGGAGGATTACTATCTGGAGCCCAGCGAGTTCAAGACGGATGACATCGTCGGAAGACTTCGAGACGACCGTCCGCCAGATCGAGAACGACACTTCCTTGGCATCCCCTCGGGTCGATCCTTC